GTAGAGATTAGTGTGGGCTAGGGATGAGCTATATGACAGGTCTGCTGCAAAGTTGAGCCCTTAAGTAGTCTTGATGAGCCCTGGGAGGATCTACTGCTCCCTAGCCAGGAAAAAAAAAATAAGCTGGCAAAACATCTTACAGAAAATTCAAAAATGTGCTTAGTACAACTCCTTAACTCTGCCTCTTTTCTCCTTGTATTGCCTTTCCTTGGAATTTACCATTTCAGTTGATATCAGGGCTAGCTAGCTGGTATTCCCTGCAAGGTAACCGGTTGGTTGAGAAACTTGAAATAATTATATTTCATGACAGGTGAAAATTATATAAAGTTCAAATCTCAATATCCATAACACATTATTAGAACATGACTGTATTCAAAATTCATTAGATATTTTTCTTGTAACTGTTTTCTGTTATAACCACAGTGTGATAGTTGTAAACTAGACTTGATTTCTCTCCCAAAGTCACAGTTACTTACTGGCCCTTTATAGAAAGCTTATTTATGCTTAAGTTGTGTTTTTTCCTTTAAGAGTTAGATTTACAAAAAAATATTCTAAAAAAATACAGCATCCCATACCTAAATGATTTAAGCCTGTTTAAGTTTACATGGAGTTTGCATCCTTATTTTTAGCCTCTTGTTTTAATGCCCAAGTAAGCCTGGTTTAAAAACTTGTGTTAACTTACCTGTGGAAGTCACTACTCCTGCTTGTACCATATATTTGGACTCCACAACAGTCTAGTAAATGCAGTTGTAATGTATGTGTTTATGCTGGGTAGAAGCCCCAGTAGAGACAAGCATCAACAACACCAGGAATTGTTAGTGAGTGGACTAATTGAGGAGGTGATCTGTTCAAGCACGCCAGGAAAAAAAGCTCTAAGCTGTGAGCAGCATGTTTGGCGGATACCAGGAAGGAGCCTCCCCCTAAGCTGGGTGTAGGTGGATCAAAGGAGAGTATACCTTATACTATGTGAAGTACTTGTTTTTGAGAACACAGCCCCATTCCCTAGGGGGCCACCTGTCTTCTCAATTGGAAACCAGTTGTGTTGCCTTTGGGGGATTTTAGTTTTACCCCTTCACTTGACCCTGGCACTTGAGTTGTTACCTGTTATACTTTTCTTCTAACATATTTGTATTTCTTTCTGTACTTTTCTAACTACTGTGCACATCCCTCCTGTGTCTAGACATCTTATTCTTAAGAAAATCTAGCCCACCCCTGGAAGTTGAGTTCCTGAACTATAAAAGAGTTTTGGGCTGCTAAGTGGGAACAGCCTCTACTTTCCAAGGTGCTTTGTTTACTTTGTGGTCTCTCTCAACCCAAGACCCTCTACTCCAAATCTGTTTTAGTATTCCCATGCAATATGCAAGACTGGGAATAAAACTAGAGGCTTTGGCCAATGTTCTGTGGGAGCTGTGGGTTCAAAAGAATTCCTGGATGTGTTTCCTGGTAAGAAAATGTGGTTAGTGACCTGGAAATTACTAGCTAAACATATAAAACTCAAAAGATATTCAGATGGTGACTCCATTAGCTTTACCCTGAAGAAAAGGCTGTGGCTTCGAGAGTTTTTGATTGAAAATGGAGGCACTTCCTAGGTAATTCAAGCCAGTTCCCTCTCTTCTTCCCCCACCCCACTTCTCTGGGCTTGAATGACTGCATAATTGCTTCAATTTTTTTGTTTCATGTACTGAAATCACTTGGCTCCTTCCTTAATGCTAACAGAGATGTTAGGGTTGGAGGTTTATGTGTCCAAAGCTTATAACTGTGGGGCCTGTCATCCAAAACTGCAAACAAGTCTGATTTTAGGCAAAATAGAACTGTCATAATTTTGTTCTTATGAATCAACTTTCTTAAAGGAATTCATGTGTGCCTGTGTATGCATACACTCACACATGTATGATGTGAATGTGTATATGTGTATGGTGGGGCTTGAACTCAAGACCTTCTACTCATAGCATTTTCGCTCTACTACAAACTTTTGGCTTTTTGCTGGTAAATTAGAGATAAAACTGTCAGACTTTTCTATCTGAGCTGGCTTTGAACCAGCCTCCTGAATAGATAGGATTATAGGAGTAAGCATCTACACCTGACATTGCTAAGAAACTTTTTAAAGCTTAATTAAAAAAAGGAAACAGCTTGATGGAATGAGAAAATTCTCAGGCAGTGAGTTGCCTTATATTTTTTAGTGCTAGTAGCCTTCAGCAGGCTTGAATTCTGCTATAATTTAATCATACCTAATGAGATGAAACACCCAAAGTCATTAGTTCCATCAGATTCTTTGAACTATGTTGGCATAATATCAACTGTTAGCATCTTGACAATGTAGATTTATGGGTAAAAATTAATTTGTAAATTATGTATTTTAGGGAACTGAAGGACATTGACACTTCTTAGAATGAAAGAAACATGTTAAAACTCCTTGATGGGTGGTAACTCAGGAGACTTTCTACCAGGAAACAGTTAGCTTTCCCCTTCCACCTATACCATATGGGGAAAATGAAAGTTAGGGTGAAATCTCCATTCTTTGGATGAATCTCTGGGAAAGTATGACAATGTGTTATCAATTTGGTTGAGCCCTGTTGGTTGGAGGACCAGAACATTGTTAAGTAGTGTTCAATGTGATTATGAGTCTACAACGTGAAAGGGAGCTGAGTGAGAGAATTGATGTGCTTTCAGTCAATGCTGATGCAATGAATAAGCCATATTAGTTTGGTTATAATTCAGGAGTGACATATTTCATTCTCGTTAGTTGAATAAGTCACCAATACATCCCTCCTCCCCCTCCAAAAAAACCCCACCTGAATTTTGGAAATGAGTATAAATTGAAATTCCCAATGTATTATCACAGACGACAACAACGCCTCAAAGCAGCAAAGAAAACCCAAGCCAGTGAATTTTTAAAAGGAACAATCATTTTAATATTCATATATATGATGAGATTAACAATTACTCTTTATTAGTCAATGCAAATACTCATGAGAAAAAGCTTCCTTTTAAAACTAATTTAAAATCTATCCTTAAAAATAGTCAACATAGTTTAAGCACCTAAGATATATTTGAGTAATCATCAGATTAACAATGTGAGAACTGTCTAGGAATGTGAGAGTAACTGCTAACTCTGTCCCTAGGTTTCCAGGATTTGGGGAAAATCTTCCTCACTTTCTGAACTGAAGGTCTGGACTAATTGGTGTGAATGGGCTGTTGATGGTCTATTGCCTATGGTCCTTAGTTTTAGAAAGGGTTTCATCAGCTTGCTACATTCAAATTTAAATTAGCAAGTAAATTCAGTGTCCTGCTTCTGAGCCTCCAGCCTGACTCTTTTGTGTTTTGTTTGTTGTGTTTGAAAAAGGAAAGATGAGAGGCTAATTCCTACTTGGTAGAAAACAAAGGCTTGATAAAAGGCTCAATCTACCCCTCCAGTTGCAAGTCACAAGACAGGATAGGGTTCCCCAAAGTACATAGTGAAAGGATTGTTACCCCAGCCCCCAAACTGAAAAATACCCTTGTGTAAGATCAGTGGTTAGATTTCAAAGCTGCTAGATAAAGCATATGGACTACAAAAGCAGCATTGTTACAGAGACTACATCTTTGTCAGAGTTGCTGTAATTGAGCTTGTTGAGACAGATATATAGAAAAATCATATATGGATTCCCGATTCACACCTAGTTGTTTACAAAATGAGTCACAATTTGACCCAAGACTTAAATGATCCAGTTCTGCATTTTGTCAACTTTCCTTCCTGGGAACAAAAAAAAAGGATACTTGAAGGCCCTCAGACAGACAGAGATGGGCTGTTTGTTTGACATATGTGTTAGGAAAATTCCTTTCTGGAAGAAAATCAGAAAGGAAAACCTCAGTTCTCTTGAGGATGTAGAACTTCCCTTATTCTATCAGGGCTCCATGAATTGTAAATCTGGAAGGACTTTGCAAAAGAGAAAAGACAAAAACCCAAAGGTAGAAAGGTATATTAATAAGAATGTAAATAGCTTTTAGCAAGTACAGCAGTTTAAGAAGTGACATTAGTAATATTCAAGCATCTGAAATACTCAAACTCATTTAAAATCTAGTAAAAAAAAAAAAAAACAACCAAAAACTCCAAAACTCAAGGAAGCCAGGAAATAGGTTCTCTGGCAAAATCACCAACTGTTTGCTATTAAAATAAGTATTAGGTAAATGAATAGAACTGATAACTAGAGGGTTATTTTCAATTATAGTTAACTTGAACTGTCTCCATAAAATATCTTTTCTAAAATGCTGGGAAATACTTCCAACAACCCCTGTCCACCTATTTAAAATGTAGGCCTTTGTGAAGGACAACAAAGAATTAGCTGGACTGCTTGCTCTCTCAACAAGTTCAGTCTTAGAATAAACCAAGAGATTCTTAGATTCACTTGGCCTCCTCAAAAGGAAAAACACACAAAACCTCCATAATTATAAAATGCTATTTTCTCCTCAGGGAATTTCTACATAATTAGTCACATAGATTCTTGTGTTGGCCAGGTATAGAAGTGAGGATGCAGATCTATTTCCAAAATATTCTTACTTATAGAATTGCCTATGCTCAGAACTTAGTGTTCAAGGATATTTGCGTTTTCTCCTCAAGTTATCATTTCGCACCCTACTATTTTCAATTTTCCAAAACTATGTTATTGCTACCTATAAGAAAAGTAGATCATAAAAGACACATTACAGTGTTACAACTAGCTGTAGGGATTCCTATAGAAAGACTAAAAGATCAGAATAGTAAAAAATTCTACACACTCACTACCAGTACTTTTGACTAAATTCCTTTAACCCCAAAGAGAAACATCTGCCTATTTATTGAAGCCCTAGGTGAACAGGTAGCCACCCAAAAGGTGGAAACCCTCCCACCCACAAATATCACTGCACTGAAATGTTATTTATTCTCTATTCTCTTGAATAGTCTTTGCTTTCATTTCCAAGTTCCCCAACTAGGTTCCAGGTTCATCCAACTAGGTAGATGTCTGGCATTGACATAGGCAGGCCTACAGATGATAGATTAATTCTTTCCCACAGTGTATGCATTGTTTAGTATACAGTAAGGCTTCCTTCGGCTGCCTTATAGCTCTTAAATGCTGCCTGAGCTGAGGAAAAAGTTGGGCAATGGTGTTCATGTTGAAAGCACCACCTGTGTAATAGCTCTCCTGTGGGGCAGGGTACCGCTCCAGGTTTAATTGTCTCATACTAGCGGTTTTCAAAAGTATGTCCTTCAGGATGGTTGTGGAGAAGGTGTTCCCGTAGAAGCTGATGGTGGTGAGCTGCTGGCAGTGGCTCAGGATAGGCAGAAGATCATTGATGTGGGAATCTGTAATCTTACACTCCTCCAACTTGAAGTTTGTAAGAGTGCCAGAAACTCGTTTTAGCAGAGCTTGTAAGGGAATAAAACTAAAACTGGACAGATTGACAGAACACAGGCACAGGGTCTTTAGCTTCCTGGTTTTTAAGTGCAAATCCAAGTCTTTCCAGTCTGATTCTGTAAGCTCACACTCGGATATTGACAGCGTCTCCAAAGAGGCATTTAGGGACCTAAAAAGAAACAAAACAGTTCTGTCCAATTATGGTAGAGATTAGAGGATGGTCAGGAATGATCCCAAGGTGGGAGACAAACATTTGAACCAAGGTCATTCTGACCATCAGATGGTCAGCACCAAGAATGCTGTGTGTAGAAGGGACTGGTTGTTCAAGTCTCCTCCTTTTAAGCTGAGACCTTTCATATTACTGTGTGACCATGGGGACCTACAATCTCTATAGCTCTTTTCCATCACTATCAGAATCTTACAACTCTGCTGGGTGTCAGTGGCTCATGCCTATAATCTTTACTACTCAGGAGGGTGAGATCTGAGGATACGTTTTAAAACTAGCCCAGTCAATGAAGTGCATGAGACTCTTATCTCCAAAAAGCTGGAATTGGAGCTGTGACTCAAATGATAGCAAGCCAGCCTTGAGTGAAAAAGCTAAAGGACAAATGCCCAAGGCCTGAGTTCAAGCCCCAGTACTGGCACAAAAAACAAAACAAACGCCCCGAACTGTTTTATAGTTCTGACAAGATAAAACCAGTGGAAGAAGGTACAAAGACAAAAGTCAGAAGAGATCTAACGATATCACCTGGACTCACACACCTGTATTCTCTACAAAGCATCTATCCCAGTTTATAATAGTTTCTGTTCATCACCTTCGACTCAAGAACCATGCATTTCCCACTTATTTATCACCCTTACTGGACCTCAACACAATTTATCACAGATGGCAAATTCAAGAAGGCTTGTCTTCTTTCCACAGAGCTTATATTTATAATGTGCAGATGTAGGTACTTTCCCTTCAATACCCTCTTTTCTTTCCTATTTCTCATTACCTAAACTTGCAAATGCTTCCTAAGGAAATTATGAATCCACCCCCACTAAAGCTGAACCCTAAACAGCTGGCTTCCTGACATGGTAGCCCTTTCTAGACCTCTAGACCATCCATCCCAATTTAATCCACTCTTTGTGTTTATCTGAGAATTTGCTTCAGGATAGAGTAGAAACAAAGCATTTCATTGACATTCAACTGGCTCCATCATGGTTGATTATCATTGGCACCGGGTGCCTGGTGCCTGTGGCTCATGCCTGTAATCCTAGCAACTCAGGAGGCAGACCAAAGTTTGAAATCATCTCAGACAGGAAAGATCATGAGACTCTCATCTCTAATCAAGCACCAAAAAGCCAGAAGTGGAGTTGTGGCTCAAGTAGTAGAGCACAAGTTTTGAGCAGAAAAGCCACGAACACTGCCCAGGCCCTGAATTCAAACCCTCATCTTGGAGAATAAACAACAACAACAACAAAAACCCCACAAACAAAACAGCGTTTGGCAAACAGCAGATACCCACTAAGCTTGACATTACAGAAAGACATCCTCTCACCTGCAGATTTTGCCAAGGTTGTCTTTCAGGAAGAAGACATTGCTTAGATAGATCTTACGGAGGAAGGTCAGCTTCTTCATTTTTTTGCACAATTCTAAAGCAACATTTTCTCTACCCAGCAGGACGCCAGGATCACTGATTCTGTAGAACAACAGTTCCTGAAGGTTTCTCATCTGGCCCACAGCAGCAAAAATAGTATCTACGGTGGGCTCATTTTCAGTACAGTGCACTTTCAGTTCCAGTACTGTATTCAGGTCCGAGTCGTTCAATATTTGCTTCAACAGGAACACAGGAAAAGTTGTCACATGCAGTCTTGGACAACCCACCTTTCCCAAATACGATTTCCGTCTGACCCACTGAAAGACGGAGGCATTCTCTGAGAAATCCTGTTGGTCCTGAAGGCATACCTCATCCCACACCTGGAAGGGAGGTTTTGCACGGCTCTTTCGATTGTGTGCTATGATTGCCCTGACATCCCTGGCTTCTGGTAAGTAGGCATCGTCTGTGTGTCCAGACCATACATCCCAGAAGTTCTGAGGCCGAGTTCCCAAATCGAGCACTCGAAGTTTCAATCTCTTGGGGTAGTTATTGTCTAAATTTAGTTCATCCAACCCAAGCAGTGAATCATGGATGGGTTTCACTTGTACCGTCTTCATCAGAGCCCCGAGAGGGAGGCGGCTGAAGGGCCAGTTCTGCACCAAAATCTTCAGGCTCCTAGAGTGCTTATTGTCATAGGCCTCCATGAATAGTGGTGGGAACAACTCCACAGGCAGCTCCTGTAGGACATGAGTGTCCAAAGCGTCATGTTTCACTAGACTTCGCGCTGCTAGTCGAGTGAGTGCTGGTACTTCCCTGGTGTTCATTCTGATGAATCTGGACAAATGCCAAGTGAGATACAGACACAGAGAACGCCATCAACGCCAAACCACTTTTATCTCTCACTTTTATCTGAATCTAAAGGAGATTCTTACTTGCCCCACCTACTGGCCCAGGTGTAAAATTTTGGACCCTTAATTTCCAGGCTCTATTGGAAGGGAGGGAAGAAGGGAGGAGGATTTCTGTTGCCACAATTGGCTTCTTTTGATAGCACAATTGTAACCACATGATGTTAGATCTGAGAAGCTTTTTTTCCCTTTGTTTTAGTAGCTCGTGAAAATAATTTTTAAAAGACAATTCGTTGTATGATCAGTAACTTTTCCTTGGAATGGGCCTAGGATCAAGAAGATCAATGGTCACATGCTCTATTCATTTCTGCAGAAGGTACAGGAGCAAAGAGAGGACTCTCAGCCCTGCTAACAACCAACACCTATTCCAACACTGGTGACTCCGTAGACTGTCTAATTGTAAAGAATAAAGGAAATCCATGTGGGGCTGAGTCTATGTGTATATTGCACCAGATGGTGCCAGAAATACCGAAGGGGGATGAGAACCAGCAGGAGCGCATTTCCTCTTGGATGCAGGCTCTCTGGTGCTGCCACTGAATCCCCTAGTCTAAGATTTTCTGCAGCTTGGGAGGTCAGAACTCTTTTGTGATGGAAACAAACCTGAGATTTTTTTTTAAAGATTAATGTATGTTTGGGGGACAACTGCTGCACATGGATACAGGACAAAGCAGCCATGATGGGAATATTTTATCCTATACCAGGTGGAGGAGAATGAACTGGGGCAGATATAACCAGTTCCCTAGTTACTATGCTGCCTATTGAGCCTACACCAGGGCGCCTCTACCTGGAGGAAAGAATGCTTCCTTGTGGTAATTTACCTCCCTTTACTAGGCACCTTTTCCTAATTGGTACAAAGGCTTCTTTTTTACTTGCTAACCACAGCCTTGCAAAAGGACACAAATGAAATCTTCTATTCAAAGACCTGCTTTCTGTTTGTGAAAGCAGGAATAGACTTAAAAGTTGAGGCTTAAGAGGTAACCAGAATGCAGATGGAGAAAAGATGTTGCAGTCATTCTGAGGAACTGTATTTAATACTAAGGGTTTATGTGGAACTAGTGTGCAATCTTCATCAGTGAGATGCCAAAGTCAGAGGTATATTTTACAAGGTAACACTGGCTGCTCAGTAGACAATGAAGGGTTGGAAATAGAGCTCATGAAAATAGAGGAACTGGAAAAAGATTCTTGCCTTACACCAGGAAATACATAAGAAAAGTCTGAGCCAGAGCAAAGAAGATGGTAAAATAGTGTATTTACGAGCTTGAAGATGTTGAGGAGATTAGTTGTAAGTTGGTTAGAACTATGTGGATCTATGGATTGAACCAAGTTCTCCCCCCCCAACACTATTTTGCAGTCCTAACCACAAACTTCAGAATGTGACTTTAATTGGAGATTAAGGTCTTTAGAGAGGTGTTCATACAAAGTGAGGCGATGGGCATGAATTGAATACCAAGATTTGTGTTTATATGAAGAGGAATTGGAACACATCGACAGGGAGCGCCAATGTGAACATTAGGATGGTTAATACAAGCTGACAGCTACCACAGGGAGAGAATGGGAGGGATCTTTCCCTAGTGCCTTAAGAGGGAAAGGATGCTACCCATGCCTGGATCTTGGTCTTTCAGCTTCCAGAACCATAAGAGAAGAATGTTTAGATGTTTAAGACACTGTGTTGGTTTTACATTTTTTATAGCAGCCCCAGAAAATTTACATCCTGTCTCTTTTATGGTAGAGTTCTTCATTAGCTGAAGTCGACCCATTAATGAAATCCCTTTGAGAATGAGGAGGTTTATGAAAGAGTTAAGGAATACTTCTACACATTCGATTCCACCTTTAAAATCATTTCATTTCACTGCAGAACAGCCTTTCGAGGTTTGCATTGAAGCTAATACAATACAGACTGGGTAGAAAATTCAAAGCATATTCCCAAATCAATGAATGCAATTAAACACTTACAGGAATTGATAGGATTCAATCCTGAGGTTCCAGATCAAACTCAGGGTAGACTACATGGCCACATGGTGGTCACAGAGAGGATCATGGGGGAGAAGTAGTAGAGTCATTAATTCTACATGTCCATATTGAAATCTAGCAAATTCATGTCACTTTTCTCTTTCTCATCTCTTTCCTGGCTCTCTCTCTGCTCTCTCTTCTATCTGTCATCCCTTCTTTCTTTTTCTAATCTCTCTCCTCTGTATCTTCTCTCTCTCTCTCTCTCTCTCTCTCTCTCCCTCTCTCTCCCCTCTCTGTTCAGTACTGGGGTTTGAACTCAGGGCCTCATGCTTATTAGACACATGCTTTACAACTTGAGCTATGCCCTCAGCTCATTGTGCTTTAGTTGTTTATTTCTCTAATAGAGACTTGTATCCTATTTATACTTCCAACATAGCTTGGTGACAATCTTCTACTGCCAGGCCCAGCTTTTTATGCAGGATAACCTTGAACTGTGATCTTTCTAATCTCAGTTTCCTAAATTGCCATTACACTGGGCTCAGATTTAATCTCTTGGTCAGATTTAATCTCTCTTCGTCAGTTCTTTTTCTTATTCTGATGCTTAAGTGCTTATTATTTAATCTCTTGGTCAGATTTAATCTCTCAGTTCTTTTTCTTATTCTGATGATTAAGTGCTTATTTTCCCTTAGAACTGAGCCAGTCTGAGGCTTTTGCTAAGGTTTGAATACAAGTGTTATAAGTCAAACCTTCAGAGCCCTGTGTTGGTGGCTCATGCCTGTAATCCTAGATACTCAGGAGGCTGAGAGCTAAGGATTGCAGTTTGAAGCCAGCCTGAGCAGGGAAGACCATGAGACACTTGTCACCAATAAACTACTCAGAAAAAAAGCCAGCAGTGGCACTGTGACTCAAGTGGTAGAGCTCTAGCCTTGAGAAAAAGAATATCAGGGACAGTGCCCAGACCCTAAGTTCCAACCCTAAGACTAGCATACCCACCGACCAAAAAGTCAAGTGTCCCGAGGGTAGGGCTGAGGGTAAGGTTCAGTGGTAAAGAGCTTATCCAGTATACTTGAGGCTCTTGGGTTTCATTCCCAGCATCAAAAGCCATATATGGGGCTGGGTAGGTGGCTCAGTGGTGAAGTGCTTACTTTGCACAGATGAGGCCCTGGGTTCTATTCCTCAGCACCACATAAGCAGAAAAAGCTGGAAGTGGCTCTGTGGCTCAAGAGGTAGCCTTGAGCTGAAATGCTGAGGGACAGCGCCCAGGCCCAGAATTCAGGCCCCATGACTGACAAAAAAAAAGTCATATATGATCAGAGTTCCAATCCTATAGTAGTTTTAAAAAGGATATGTTGCAATAATAATAATAATAACAAATCAGTGCAGGCACAAAGTAAATGTAAAGACCTAACTAATTTATCTGCTTTCTTTCTTTGTTTCTTTCTCTTTCTTTCTTCCTTCCTTTCTTTCTCTTTCTTTCTTCCTTCCTTCCTTCCTTTCTTTCTTTCTTTTCTCCTTCTTTTTCTTTCTTTCTTTCCTTTCTTTTTTCTTCCTTCCCTCTCTTCCTCCCTCCCTCCCTCCTTTCCTCCTTCCCTCCCTCCCTCCCTCCCTCCCT